GGTCGAACTAGTTATAGCATCAATAACCACAGAAAAATCTGGACAGCTCTGATTTCAAAGAGAACAAAAAATAAGCAATGCTTCAGAAAACCCATTTTCCAAACAATTATAATATCAGTCATTCGGGGTTTATATGGTTTTTGATGTTGAACATAAAGAAAGTTCATGTCCCAAAAATAGTGAGCAATGGTGCTAAGAAAAGATTTGGCATAGAGACCTTCTTTTAAGATTCTTTGAAACCGCAACACTTCACAAAATCCTCTAGTCAGTTCAAATTCGCACCAAGAAATGTGGCAGTGGTCCTTAATTTCTCTGAAAAAGACCAATGCACAGACCCCTAAGATTTATTTTTCTATACTTAACTCCAGAGCAGCTATTTTTAAAAAGTGACCAGCTGAGCTGGGATAAAGTTACACAGCTAAGCTGGCATAGAGAAGAACGCAATTTGCTAATAAGACTGGAACTTCAGGACAGATCCTGTTCATTTGGTAACTTCCATGATACCCAGGCAGTTATTAGGTACACAGCAGATACTTTACAAATGTTTACTGGTTTTCAAAATAACCTAACCTATTTTGATGTGTAAAAGGAATGTATAAAATCAACCAAGCAACTGAAATCCTGCAGCCCTTCACTGTCAAGGTAGAATTGCTCCTGTGAGTTTCTGAAGCTGTAATTCTTTTCAGAAGTAGAAAGTCTTTCTCCCAAGGAGCAACTGGTGGTTTCGAACTGCTGACCTTGTGGATCGTAGCCCAATGTGAAACCACTACACAATGAGGGCTCCTGAAAACCCTGAAGAACTCTAAAAAACCATGTAAGAGGCCTCTGAAGTCCACACTGAGGGTCTATATTTCCTACTGGAAGCTTTTAAAACTCTGATGTAAGTAAATGCATTATGAAAGTGTATGCCTCCCAATCTTGTGCTAAACTTGGAGGTGGAAGGAAGCAATCTTGGCAATATTCCAGGAGGCTCAAGCTAGTTAGTCCCAAATCAATAAGCTAGCAGATAAGCTGACAGTTTCTAGTAAGCACTTCTTTTGGCTGGCTTAACTTCATCAATGATTGGGCACTGGTTCTGTTAAACAAAAGAGAAACGCTGCCATTAAAAAATAAAAAATAAAAAAAAAACTAAAAAATCATATCAATGGGAATGAGCGGGAGTGCGGAGTGGAGACGCAAAGCCCATCTGTAGACAACTGGACATCCCCTCACAGAAAGGTCACAAGGAAAAGACAAGCCAGTCAGGGTGCAATATACCTATTCTTTAATGCTTCCTCCCCCACCCACCCCGACTCTCATGACCCCAATTCTACCTTACAAATCTGGCTAGACTAGAGCAAGTACACGGGTCCAGATCAGAGCTGGAACACAGGGAATGAGTTCAGGACAGATACACCCCTCAGGACCAATCATGAGAGTAGCAATACCAGGAGGGGAAGGAGAAGGTGGAGGGAGAAAGACAGCACCGATCACAATGATCTACATATAATCCCCTCCCAGGGGGATGGACAACAGAAAAGTGAGTGAAGGGAGACATGGGCCAGTGTAAGACATGAAAAAATAATAACAATTTATAAATTATCAAGGGTTCATGAGAGGAGCCCAGGGAGGGAGGGGAAAAATGAGAAGCTGATACCAAGGGCTCAAGTAGAAAGAAAATGTTTTGAAAATGATGGTGGCAACAAATGTATAAATGTGCTTTACACAATGGATGGATGGATTGTGATAAGAGCTGTATGAGCCCTCAATAAAAAGATTTTTTTCAAAGAAGCAAATCTAAAAAAATAAATAAAATGAAAAGAAGCAAATAAAAAAATTTTAAACTCATGTCACAATGTTTTATTCTATAGTCATTATTGGGGTTTAGGGTATGATTTTCTAAATATGAAATCCAGCAAGACAACTAGACTAATGGTTCCTTAGGGTTATAGCAGGGAAGGTAGGTAGATATGGGGAGCTAATAGTAATGGGCAAAAGAATGATGAAAACATTCTAAAATTGATTGTGCTGATGACTGCATAACTCCTATTTAATATATGTAAACCATTGAATTATATAGTATGTAAATTATATGCCAATAAAACCAAAAAAGTATTAAAAAATAAAACTAATGTCACTGAAGTACAAAAAAAAACCCCAAAACCAAACTCACTGCCATCAAGTCGATGCTAACTCACAGCAACACTATAGGACAAGGCAAAACTGCCCCTGTGCATTGTGGGGACTGTAACTCTCTTATTAGACTACAAAGCCCAGTCTTTCTCCCGTGGATTGTGCTGGTGGTATTGAATTGCTGACCTTGCTAGGTAGCAGCCCAGCGCATAACCACAATGCTACTAGGGTTCCTTGCCACTAAATTAGGCATGCAAAAATCATGTTTTGTTTTGTTTATATTTTTTTCAATCATTTTATTAGGGGCTCATACAATTCTTATCACAATCCATACACACATCAATTGTGTAAAGCGCATTTGTACATTCACTGCCCTCATCATTCTCAAAACATTTCCTCTCCACTTAAGCCCCATGTTCTAATAACAACTGTTTTGGCATATCTGTACGGGCTTTAAAAAGTACGTGGAAAACAATAGAACTGAAAGACAATGGAATTTTTGCATGAACTTTTTAAAGCTCCCTCACATAGAATTACCATAGTGGTAGTTTTTTTAAGTTAATGGCTGAAGGCCAACAAATAAGACCTGTTTTTTTAACTTTCTCTGAATGATACCAGTGTTGTGGTTGCTCACAGATTCAATGGGCAGTGAACTAGTCATTAGCAGATGCCTTGGTCAGATGTGCTCTAGGTACCGATAAGGTGCTTCTCTTTGTCAGCAATCGTTCCTTCCAGTCCTTACGTGCTTCACAGCACAGTGAGACTTCAAAGAATGCATTCTAGCCAGCCTTCCCAGGCTGCCTTGTAGACTCCCTACCTAAGCCAGCTAAACCAACAATTAGTTAGATCTGGGGTTCTGGAAAATTTTTGATGACTGGATTCCTTCACAACTGTATCCAACAAGAACCTCAAAAGTGAATGTGAGCTATATTGCCCATATGGACCATACCGGAAATGACAACTGCTCAATTGATAAAACACATGATCATCAGAGCCAGCGTGCAGCATGGTGACTTCGCCTGATATCATGGAGCCACTGGAAGGCTCCATTGTGCACTAGAGAGAGAATGCCAGGGGGGTGTGGGTGGAGAGAACGCCTTAGGTTTCATTCTGAAAATGGTTTTGCTCTCACGGAACATCTGGGAAATGGTCTTCTGAGAAAAACCTTTCCAATGTGATGGCTCTCCAAAGGAAAAAAAAACACTAAAAAACCCACTATCATCAAGTAGATGTCAACTCATAGTGATGCTATAGGACAGGGTAGAACCGCCCCTGTGGGTTTCCGAGACCATAACTCTTCTTTCTACCATGGACCAGCTGGTGGTTTCGAGCTGCTGACTTTTGGGTTAGCAGTCCAACACGTAACCACTTCTCTAGGGCAAGATTTTTCAACTTGGCTGTAGTGTCATTTTTAGAAGGCTAAGTCTGTGGGTGAGGGCAGTTCCTTGCCTCTACCTACTAGATGCCAGAAGCCACCTCCCCTTACGACAACCCCCTCACAAAGTTTCCAATTATTGTCCAATGCCCCTTGGTTGAGAGCCACTCTTTCAGTGCACTGATTTGATCCTACTGAATGTGAATTTCAAAAGGTATACCTCTCACTACCTTCTCCACTCCCTGATAGACCTATTCCTTCCCTACCCATCTCTGGGTTTGGGCCTTCGGCTCTTTTATTGTTCCACAAATTGCCTGAGCGGGCAGGGGCGGGGTGGGGGGGCGGTGTTTAGCAACAAGCCCAGGCTGAACAGGTCAAGAACACACATTCTGGTTAAAGTTCACTCTCCAGGCCTTGGGGCTATTAGGGCACCACTTAGGAACACCTTACAGCCAGCCAACACTCATCCTGTCAGTCTCCAGACTGGGTAACAACCCAGGGCAGAGGAAGGAGGGGAAAAAAAGGGGGGGATAGGTAAACAACTACAGATATTTTTCAAAAACATACATAAAAGCCTATGGATGAGTATGTAAGGATGATGGTAATATACAAGACCCAGCTATACCACACCCCAAGCCTCACATTTGGCAGGTCCTCCCCTAGTCCAGCATCTGGACCTGGAGAGTTCTTTGTCAGGGGCTGGCTGGGGAGCAGGGAGGAACAAACTTGGCCGAAGAAAGACATCCTCAACGGTTCCAAGTCAAACAGTCACTCCCCACCCAATTCCCCACTTCTTCCTTTCATCTCCTGAAGTTGAGTCCAAGTTTTTTGTTTTGGGGGTTTTTTGCCTCAAAAGTGCCCCAGCCACATGAGACTCCTTTTACAGTCTCCAATCTGGGGCTACCAAACTCAAGTCCAGCCTATTCCACCACTCCTTAAAGATCCTTCTTTCCACGGCCTCAAATTCCTACGAACAAACCCCCACTCTCCCACCCCACACTACTCCTCAGACTGAATTCCTCCTAGCTGTCACACACACGCTTTCCTCTCCCCTCAAAAAAAACAAAAACCACAAACTGCTCCACGCAGTCTCTTCCCACCTAGTTGTCCCACCACCTCCCAAACTCTCCCTGCTCCTGGGAACCCAGGATCCTCCTCTCCAAACTGGCCTTGCCACCCACCCATCCAACGCTTACTCCTCCGAATCTTCCTAAGTTACTCTACCCGACCTCCTCCACCCCTCCCTCCTCTCTACCCACACCCTGCCCTCCCTCCCCCCTCCATTCTTGGCCCCATCCCACTTTCCGGGGCCCTCCTCCCCACCAGCCCGCGACCGGGCCTGCTCCAGGTCAAGGCTCGCCTTCCTGGGCCAACCGCCGTCACCCAGAGCCAGCTCGTCAGCCCCTGGGCCCCCGCCCCGCCGAGGAGTCTCTCAAGTTGTAGCCTTTGAAGGGACGCCCCGGGCCCCAGCCGGAAGCCGCGGCCGCCGCCGCCGGCGGGCCGGACTACTCACCCAGGAGGACACAAAGCAGAACGAGTCCCGAGGCCGGGGCCGGGAAGAGGCGGACGCCTCGGTTCACCATGATTCTGCAAAAGCAGGAGACAGAAGCTGCTGCTGCTACGGGGGGGGGAGGGGGAGGGGCGGCGGCGGCGACCAGAGAAGCGACAGCCAGGAAAGGGTCCGCGGGTGCCCACCGACCACCGCGCGGCCAGAGCCAGGAACCCGAGCTGCAGCGGGAGTCATAAGACTCGGGGCGGGACCCTTTTGTCTTCAGCCAATCCCTGTGCTGAGGAGCGGCGAGAGGGGTGGTGATGTAGGGCTCGGGAGGCGGGGCGACCACGCCCTGACTTTCTGGTTCACAACCATTCTGAAGTTGCTGAGAGATGTGTGCGGGCGGCCTTTTCTGAAGCAGTGAGGAGAGGATGTGCTTTCCTGGGGTTTTGTTGTTGTTGTTTTTGCGGGATCGTGGCGGAAGAGGTGTGGGTAGCTCATAGACAGTATTTTTCAGTTCTGGCTCCTTAACAGAAAGGTTGCTGGGTATCTCAATGTAATACAACAATAATACGCGACTAATTACCACACACTAATTACCTATGCACTTCTGGGACAAGTAAGCTAGGGGGAAGTATTGAGTCGCTGACCAACGGAAAAGGACGTGGCCTTGAAATTCACCCCGTGTTTCAGATACGGAAACTGAACTCAGAAAGAGGAAGATCCCTTTTATAAACAAAGAAAGGAAGAAAATGAGAGAAATAAAATGCATAGAGGGGAATGTTCAGTTCTTCCATAATTCCACTACCCGAAGAGAAACGCAGTTAACATCTTGAGATATATCGATATAAATATTTCAAAATACATAGTGAAAATATTTGGAAGAATTACAGTCTCAGAAATCCACAGGGGTGGTTCTACCCTGGGGTCACTCGACGACGGTGAGAGTTTGTTGTTGTTTATTTGTATGAGTCGAAATCCACTGGATGGGTAGGCTTGCTTTCTGTGTGTGTGTAAATAAATGCATAAGTATGTGTATGTAAATACATATGTATATACATGTGTGTATTTCCTTCCTGTTTGCCTTTCTTTTCAAATGTTTTCCCTCTATATACACATGCAAAATTTTCAACAAGAGCATGCTAATCATGGTGTTCAGTATACCTGACAAGTAAACAGATAAAACCTAAAATATTCAACAGATGCAAGCACTCAAAAGGCTCAAGTTGGATTAAAGGACTGATTGTCAAATGTTGTTTACTTCTCAAAAGGTGGGGGTTTTTAAAGACATATAGATTCCTTAGTGTCATCCACTATAGAGTGTGAAACAGTAGGAATATAATAGCCCTAGGAATCAGGGGTGTGTTTTTTCTTTTTCATAGCCACAGGTAGGAAGTTTATTTAGGGAAGTGATAAGGTACAACTTGGAATCAGGAGCACACACCTCAGAAGTAACTGGAACAAGTCAGGGTACAGTTCTTAATCAGGACAGCTTCTTCTCAGGCTCTACTGCGGGGTCTTGCTCAGAAGGGGGCCTTCTCAAGAAGTGTTACTTTAGCTCCATGGGTTGCCAAGACACCACCACCACCACCACCCGCCCCCTGCAGCAGCCATCTTGCACCCGTCTCCTGCTTTCTGCAGTCCTGTGCTTCTATCACTCTTGCTATTTGTACACTATTGTCTTGACCTGTGTCCCCTGTTACAGCTCTCATTCTGTCACCTGGGTCTAGGAAGTTTTTGGCACTGGGAGTCTGCATCCATAAGGCATATTCTATCCCTATTTCTTCTTCTCGGTGGTAGTGACGGTCTCCTTTCTGCCTTGGATTAGCTCTACTTTAAGCCTCAAAAAAAAAAAACCCACAAAAACCCAAAGTCACTTCCCTTGAGTCAATTCCAATTCACAATGCCTCTGTAGGACAGAGTAGAACTGCCGCCTTTCGTTTAAATCTTTATGGAAACTGACAGCCTCATCTTTCTCCCATGGAGCAACTCAATGTGAACTCATTCACTCACTGCCAACTCCTAGCGACCCTGTAGGACAGGGTAGAACTGCCTCTGTGAGTTTCCGAGACTGTGGGGACTAGGCTCCACAACTGAATGGGTCTTAAGGGGCAGTTGTGTAACTGAAGGGTAAATTAAAGAAACATCAGACAAGGCATTCAAAAGCTCTCCTCTTCCATGGAGCCCGGAACCAGAGAAAGAGAGCGAATGTATTATCTCACAGGTTTATATAAGCTCAGGCATGCAAGTCACATCATACACATATGTAACAGGAAGGTACATAGGTAACAAGATGAGCGGGTCCTAGAGTTCAGATCGTGATATTCTTCACTTTTCTTTGCTTTAGATGGGGTGAAACCAATAGTCTTACCTTAGATATTACTAGGATACTGTTAAGCCTCACTCTACTTAATGAAGCAGGACGTGGAATGTTGCCTTTGTGTACCATGTCATCTCAACGGACCCAGATGTCTCCCAAGACTGGGCTCCTAAGTTCTTAGGTCCAGTGACTCATCCCCTCAAGATGTTGGGTTATGGCTTCAAGAAGTTTGTAGATCTTTGCCCCGTGTGCTCTACAATATCCTTGAATATATTTGCTGCACATACAAATACGTATGTAAAAGTATCTTCTGCCAAACTCGTGGGTGTGCTCCCCCTCACTTTCCCATATCTGCTCAGCTTGTATGTCTATTTACATATCAACTTGTAGATATTGCTGGTGATTACTATTTTTCCAAGATTGTGTGTGTTAATCTTACTGAATTGTGTTGTCTTTTACTCATGAACACTTCCAGGTGATTTCCTTTGCCCTTGGTCATGTTGAGCTGGCCACTCCACCCCTTCAATTACATATTGCTTTGTCCTTTATCCAATTGAATATGCATCTACTTTCCAGTTAGTGATTTATCCTCTCTTCCCTCCAAAAAAGATCAAAACACATTCGCTAACATCAAGTCAATTCCAACTCATAGTGACCCTCTCAGATTCAGTAGAACTGCTCCTATGGGTTGCTGAGGCTGTAATCTTAACGGGAGTAGAATACCTCATCTTTCTCCTGTGGAGTGACTGACTGGTGGTTTCAAACTGCTGATCTTGTGGTTAGCAGTTCACCATGTAACTCACTACATCACCAGGGCTCCCTCTCCCATCTCTGGTAGCCATCAAAGAATAATTCTGTGTTTAAACTTTTCTTGATTTTTAAAAATAAACTCATTGCCATAAAAATCAATTCCACCTTGGGCAACCCTATAGCACAGGTTAAAACTGCCCCTGTAGGTTTCTGGGACTGTAACTCTTCACAGGACTAGAAAGCCTCATCTTTTCCTACAGAGCTGGCTGGTGGTTTCAAACTTCTGACCTTGCAGTTAGCAGCCCAACATGTAACTACACCACCAAAGTTCCTTTTTAGAATAGTAATCCATAAATGGGGGTGGTGGTTTCTTAGAATAAATAGGCTGAAAATTCTCAAATCTTTGACCAGAGCTTCCATACTCAACAGTTCTTTAATGTTTCCTTAAGTCCTTTTGTATACCCTGGTAGTGTGGCGATTGGGCTGCAAACCACAAGGTAAACAGTTAGAAACCACCAACCAGCTCCTTGGGAGAAAGACAAGAGGAAGCTTGCTACTCCTGTAAGAGTTACAGTTAAGAGGGAGAGAGTCTCACAGGGGCAGTTCTACCCTGTCCATGAGGCTTCCTATGAGTCAGAATGGACTTGGTGACAGCGAGTTGTTTTTTGTTTTTTCATTTCTTTTGTAGGCACTATCTTCCATCGCTGGAACTCTGAAGGGGCTACTCAGGCTCTTAACCACAGGATCAGTGTTTCCAAACCACCAGTTACTCAGAGGGAGAAAGTTGAGACTTTCTATTCCTGTGAAGAGTACAGTCTCGGAACCCCACAGGGGCAGCTCTACCTTGTCCTGTGGAGTCACTGTGAGACGGAAGTGACTTAGTGTCAGAGAAAGGGGGGGGGGGGGGGGGTCTCTCATTACCTAGACCCAGATTGAAGAAGCTTTCCCTAGGATCTTTTGTGTTCTATATGTTCCTATAATGATCTCATTGTTTTGCTGCATTATACCCACCACACCCACCCGGGCTCCTTTCTTCCCGATTAATGGTCAGAAGGAATTCAGTGGAGGCTTAATCCACATGTTGTTCTTATTGTTAGGTGCCATCAAGTTAGTCCTGACCCATAGCAACCCTATGCACAATGGAACGAAACACTACCCAGTCCTGCACTATCCTGACAATTGTTGTCATGTTTGAGCCCATTGTTGCAGCTATTGTGTCAATCCATCTCATCAAAGTTCTTCCACTTTTTTGCTGCCCCTCTGCTTTGTTTTTAAAATACTTTTTAGTGGGGGCTCTTAAATCTCTTATCACAATCCATACATTCATCCAGTGTTTCAAGCACATTTGCACATATGCCACCATTATCATTTTCAAAGCATTCTTTTCCCACTTGAGCCCCTCATATCAGCTCTTCATTTCTTCCCCCTCCCTCCCCCTCCTGCCCTCTCTCATGAACCCTGGATAAGTTATACATTATTATTTCCATATCTTACATCGTCATCACCCCTTACTCACTTTTCTGTTGTTCATTCCCCTGGGAGGGGGTTATAAATTGATCCTGTGATCGATTCCCCCCTTTTTCCTCCACCGTCTCATAATCATCCTGGTATCTCTACTCTCCTTGTTAGCCCTGAAGGGCTTATCTATCCTGGATTCCCTGTGTTGCGGGCTCTTATCTGTAGTAGTGTGCATGCTCTGGTCTAATCCAATTAGTAATGTAGAAATAAGGTCATGATGTGGGGTGAAAGAAGCACGAAAGACCAAGAGGAAAGTTGTGTGTTTCATCGGGCTATACTGCACCCTGACTGGCTCATCTGCCTCTCTGCTTTACCAAGTATGATGTTCTTCTCCAGGGACTAATCTCTCCTGATAGCACGTCCAACATATGTGAGACAAAGTCTTACCATCATTGCCTCTAAGGAGCATTCTGGCTGTGCTTCTTCCAAGACAGATTTATTCTTTTGGCGTCCACTATACTTTCAATATCCTTCGCCAGCACCACAATTCAAATGCATGGATTTTTCTCTGGTCTTCTTGTTCTATGGCGAACTTCCCCAT